TTTGAGAAAAAATAAGAAGGGGGGGGTTTTTTTAAATTAAAGTTAAAAAAATTGTTTTAGGTGGCTTTCGAATATTGAATTTTACATATCTACCTCAGAAACTTTAGCGCTCGCTCTCACTTTCTCTCTCCCAAACTGACGCTCCGCCTCCAGTTATCTTTACTTTTCGCTCTCTATATTTGAATTCGTCTCTATAGGTTGTTCGCTCTCTCTTTCTCTTTCTCTCTCTCTCTCTCTCTCTCTCTCCCTTGCTCTTCCTTTTATTTTCTCTCGTTCTGACATGTACCCCGATCCTCCTCATTTTGCTTACTCTTTATGACGCTCTCATTTCTCTCGCTCTCTCTCTCTCTCTCTCTCTCTCTCTCTTTTCTCTCTCTCCCTCTCTCCCTCTCTCTCTCTCTCTCTCTCTCTCTCTCTCTCACTCTCTCTCGCCCTCTCTCTCTCTCGCTCTCTCTCACTTTTTGGCTCTCCGTCGGCTTCAAAAATGGCTCTCGAAACTATTTCCGCAATACTCTCAAACCGTTTTTTATTTCCTTTCGTCTTCGACCGATCTTCTGCCTTCTGTTTACTATACGACCCAGACGCTTTTAGAGTGCAGTGGCCGCCAGGGCGGGGAGGGCACAAAAAAGCGGTCACCATCTCAACTGCAGACCCATCAGGCCTGGCGTCATCAGCATTCAGTTCTCGGCTCTACCGAAATTTGGTGATAAGCCCTCAGGCGCCTGCTGCCTGGTTGAACCCGTAAAATTTGACACTACTGGGTCGTTTTGCGGAATTTTGGCGTTGCAGTAACGTGACACCTTTCGTATTTTCTTACGATATTTTTGCGGCGATTTTGATGAATTTCAGTGTGATTTTGGGAAAAACAAGTTTTTTTAAATACAAAGTTGTTAAATCTTAAATCCCTCGAAAATCGTTTTGCCAACCTTCCGCTTTTATTTATTTGGGAATTTTTAGTCTTTTTGGCGCTTTGTTTTTGCATGGTATTGGTATGGTATTCAACGACCAGGATCCCTCACCAAAAACCACCTTTCCAAGTCCGCCCTTCCTAATTTGCATAATTCGTCCTTCGCCCCCTTTCCTTAATTTTCGCCGGGTCCCAACATGTGCGCCTTTAAGGCCCGAAATTCAGAGAACAAGATGCTTATAAGTAACTTTTCAGGAGCGCTTGTTATAGCTGTTTTAAAGGGACAAGGTCTCGAAAAAACCTGGTCGAAAGTTTCGAAAAACCGAAAAGCTTGCCTAACTTTTGAAGAACAATTTTGTGCCAACGTAAAACGCACTCCAAATCTTTATCAAATTTTTAATTTCGGCTTACAACTTTGGTTTGTCTCGAAAAATCTGGGAATGGAAAAGTAACAAAAAGAGGAAGCAAAATGGGCTTAGAAATGTCTTGCATTGTTAGATATAATCCAAAGGCTCAAGTCTAGGAAACCCCCCCCAGCCGACTTTTCAACTTTTCTACCTTCGTTATTTTTATTTTTCGCTACTTTTTTCGACTGAACTGCAATGTAGTCTTACTAATTAGCCTACGGCAAACATTTTGGTATACTCGCTAGCGCAAAGGGGGGCCGAGATACAAAAGTTGGTGCCGGCTGGGGGGGTTTTCTAGACTCTTACCAATCCAAATTTTACGTATTTTTACAGTGTCGCAATCTTGCCATCCTACTGTAGCCCATTCTAGCTTTTGGAAATTAAATTTGACGGCTTAATTGTCGGAGCCTTCTACGTTGACGGACATATTTTCGACTTTTAGGGCCAGATAAACCAACCGCGCGGATTTTTTCAATTTTAAACCTTGAATCTCGGTTTAGGGCGCCTCTACAGTACCCCAGAACCCAGAATAGAACATTTTCGATCCCTGGATTTTTTGAACTTGTGTTTTTTACAGGTTCTGACTAATTTTTCTACACTTTCCGACCCAAACAAATGGACCTCACCACACGCATCGGATTCCGAGAATTCGACTGTCCGATAATTTCCACCCCTCTTTTTGACTCATCCAAAAAAGCCGGGGGCACAAAAATCGCATTTTTCAACGGCACATACAACAACAATTTGTAAATTGCCTGTTTTCGGTGGCGGACCGCCGGATGGGAAAAGGAAAGAACGACGTGCCGCGTTCTTGCAGCCTCACCCCTGCTATCAGTTCAAAAAAATCGCGCCTCCACGCCCCGTGTTATTTGTTTATGTTTGAAAGCTGATTATTTACGAAGATGTACTAATGACAACATTCAAACATGATACGTTTTTACAGGCCCCCTATTTTTAAAGTCTATCCAAGCCTCACATTTTGCTAAAAGTTTCTGTAGGCCTTAGTAATTCTACAAAATCTCATAAAATTGTCGTTTTCGACAGTTTTTCATGGTAAAATTGTGTTACTTAATTTTGGAGATTCTTAACTCTCTATCAACGCATTTTTATATTTTTCTAAAACTTTTAAAGCCAGGAACTTTGCTTTGTCAATATTTGGTGTTTTACAATTTAATTTTAAGTTTTTTTTTGTTATAGCCCTTATATCTAGCGACCAAATAAATAGAGAAATTTTTATTGAATTCAAATTGGTTTTAAGCCCAAATTGCCGTGTAAATTTTACTAAATATTACAGCGTTCGGCTCGACTGACCAATCGAATTTTATTGCTCATAAAATTCAAATCTAAATGGCTCAGCCTCGACCCGCATGTCAATAGATTTGTTTGTCGGCGTTCCCAGCTCTGTAACTATCAATTTTCATTTTCTATGCTAATTTGTATACCCTTGACCTAGAATTTCAGCGCTTTCGGGGCTTTTGTAATTAATCGTCGTCTTCTAAAGATCAAAAACAAATTCTCTGGGCTAGAATGTGTAGCTTTTTACTTTAAACCCCCTTAAAACCCCCCACCCTGCTGCATACATCTCTGTATCTCTGCTGTACACATCTGTCTTCCAGGTACCTTTAAAAATCTACTCTTGAATTATATAGCCATCCAATTTGCCTTCCTAACCCCTTTAAACCCCTTCTGAGCACACGGTGGGTGGTCCCGCGGTGGGCCATAGAAAGGGGGGCGGGGCCGGGTAGGCCATACGGGGCCCCACCTCCACTCTACACAAACGGACAGAACGGACGGACACACACCTACGGATGGACACAGACAGACAAACAGACAGACAGACACACACCGCCCGACTGGCCATACATACGAATGGCATTCAGGAACCGCCCGGCCGGTCGGATAGGAGGGAGGGAAAGACCTGTGTGTTCCTTTCTTGGCCGAGGAGTTTTCATATTTTTTGGGCGATTTTTTGGCTACTTTTTTAGATGATATTGAGATTTTCTATCCTTATTTTTTTTAAAAACTGCGTTTAATTTTAGAAATGTGTCTAAAGCTTGTTCCGTAACCATTCCAGATTGATTTTTGTCTTCGGAGATTCATGACTCCTCGACGGGCTCTCCCTAACGCTGCATATAATACGCTTAAAAATCTTTTTTAAACTGATTCCCTTTTTTGGCAAACGAATCCCGTTTTTGCCAAACCAATTGAAATTTGTCCAAATCCCCAAAATTTCTCGTTGTCCATTTTGTACCGGAAATTGCCCAATTTTCCGAATTTTCGGCTAGAAACTATATACGTAGCAGCTTTCAACTTCCTTATTGCACTAATTTCCGGTGCAATTCAGGCCTCGATTTTTGCTCTTTTCTTACAAACTGTTGCTCAGTTGCTCCTCAAAGTTTCTAAGGATTCGAAGATCATTTTTGCATGATTTAGCGCCAGTTTTTTGGCAGCCTACAGCTCGGGAAGATCGCGTAAAACTCTGTAATGTCACTTTCTCAATTTTCTGTGGTGATTTTTGAACGTCTATTCTTCTTTTGTAGCGGTGCTAGCGATCTTCGTAATAATTCTTTTGCAGCGATGAACGACACAGAGCCCGAGTCGCATCTACAGCCGGCGGTGATAGCCGTGATCGCCGTCTACGTGCAGTTGGCTGTATTCGGGCTGTGCGGAAATTTATGGGTGATGTGGACCGTGCTCTCACAGTTGTTGGGATGTGCGACAGGTAGTGTTCCAAAAAATATAAATACCTATAGACAAAAACCATGACTGCGCATGAAGGAAAATGTTCCAAAACTAGCTGTCACTGTCCCTTTAAAACGCATTCCTAGTTCGACTTTTCACGCGCGCATCGCGCACCGGAAAACACGCAAAAATTTTTGCCATCTCGTGTCGTAGTGTTTCGATCAAAAATCGGCTACAAACCCGGAGTACAACCCAAAAAACCATGAAAACACTCGTATTTTTACCCCGCTTAAAGGTGCAGGTAACCCGATCCCTTAGCACTCACATCTCCACGACCGCTACGCGCGCGCGACCTATTGCCATCTCCGCGTCTTCTGGATTCTCCCACCACAATCTCTTGCCTCTTTTGCCCCAGCTACCGCCCAGCATTTTTTTGGAGTGTTTGCAGGCGCAGGCTAGACCGGGAAACACATGTTTTGGCACCCAGATGCTCTCTAAAATGCGCCTAGAATTGGGAACGGTTCGCGGTATTCCTGTGACGATTTCTTGATGGTTTGGGCAAATAAAAATAGGAGGATTAGGTCAAAAATATTTATTTTTGGGTTGCGGTCGAGTTCAGCGACAGACAGGGGGGGGGGGCGAGAAAGCAAAAGAGAGAAAGGAGAGAGCGAGAGAGAGCAAGAGACATTTTTCGTCGTAATCAAGCATATTTTCAGGAGGCCGACCCCACAAACCAACGATCCAGTCCTCGGCCTTCATCTACTTGTTACTACTCTCAGTCGTGGACTTGGTCTCATTTTTACCGATTCCATTGCTCGTCTCGGACCTGGTGATGCTCAGGTACGTTCATGCTCCTTCTATCTCTTGCTCTTAGTCTGTATGTATGTCTCTCTCTCTCTTTCTCTCGCTCTCTCTCACTAATGTTCTTTTTCAGGTGGCCCTTCAGCCTGGGTATATGCAAATTTTTCTACATTTGCGAAGGGGTGAACAAGACGCTATCACCGATGGTGCTCACCGCGTTGTCGATTGATCGCTATATTGCGGTTTGCAAGGTGAGAAAAAATATATTTCGTTTTAAAGGGTGAAGTGAAGTGAATTTGGGCTATGGGTCTAGTAACGGATGCCAAAAGCAGCTTCTGGACGTTTTTTAGGCCAGTATTCATTTACCCTAAAATCAGAAAACAGAACAAAAAAATCAGCACCACCTCATCAAAATTCGAGCTCAAACTCAAACGCTAAAACACAAAACGCTCGCACTTCCAAAAAATTCCGCATGACAACTTTTTGACGCTTTTCGTCTATGCCATGCTAGAATCCACCTAATTTGCAAGCTAGGGATGAGCAAATCAAAGACCCTCGAGGTGGGGGATGATGAGAAAAAGTGGCGGAAGAACGGCGTCCACTTGAAAGGGGCACAGCCGGGTAATTTTGCTAATGAGGAGCGTGAGTGATGGTCGGGGTGGCGAGTCACCGTGTGTGGTCCTGGAAGGGGTTTTGATTGTATGTATACAAAGCGGAACAAGGGGATTAGGGTTTGAAAGGCATGGCCAAGAGATAATTTTTTTGTCTTTGAGTCTTTTAGAAATTTTTCCGGTATTGACACATAAGGCGACCGTGACGTGCGCATGATTAGCATAGAACTAAATAAATACGCGCAGTGATCACGTAACGCACACGCGACGCACATGCGACGCACAGGCACCGAAGACGCGCGAAGCGCGCGACTGGTTTTAATTACGTAATCGATTACGACGTCTAAATCCATAAGGCACCCAAAACCCGCAAAAAACAGGTTTTCCATTTTAAAGGGATGGATTCAACAGGCAAAGTGAGAGATAACGAGAGAGCTAGGGAGAAGAGAGAGAGAGCGAGGGAAAGAAAGAGGGAAATAGAGCGAGTGAGAGAGTGAGAGAGAGAGAGACAGCGATAGAGATGCAGCAAAAACCCGAATTTTTAGCCAACCCTAGTCTGGATGCGCCAGACGCAATTTGCCCTGTTCGTCGTGCTGGTGTGCGTCTTGCTGTCGATGACGTTCATCGTTCCCATCGGGGTTCATGCTAAGGTGAGTAAATTTTGAGTTTTCAGAGTACTGTAAGGTGTATTCTAACGCACTATACGTGGCTTCTACGTTGTGTATTTTTTCCGTTCTTTCTCTCTCTTTCTCTCGCTCTCCCTCGCCCTCTCTTTCCCCAAACAAAGCCAAGGCTAACGAATCGCCATAAAATCATCGGCCCCAAACTTTTGGCTCATTCTCGGGCTCCAATTGCCTGGGGTTTAAGCGGAGCCTTGGGCCCAGCTGACGCGTTCCCGTATGGCCAGCCAGCCCCGGCTTCTGGCCCCCTATCCGAATTTGCACGAATTACACACGCACCACCCAGGGGGGATGGCCAGAGCAAAGTAGTATAGTTGAGGGGCGATGAGTTAGGGGTGGGTAGTTAGCGGGGGAACGGAATGGGATGATTATCGTGAGTTCTCGAGAATTACCTGAAACTCGAGAGGGCTGTAGTAAATCGTAGCGTCTCGGAAAAAAAGGTGAAAGTTTAAGACTGAAGGAAATATTTAGGGTAGATTCCTTGAATTTGCAATTGAAAAATCGCCGCCATTAGTGCGCTTTAAAATTCGTAGCGTACGGTCTAGTAAATAGTATCGTCTCGACAAAGTTGTGAATCTTTAATTGCGAACCGCAAAAACAGGCATCTATAATTTGAAACCCCAAAGGCCCCCGATACTTAACAGTCTTACGCGTTAATCATACTAAAACTCTTCAAACGCCGTAGCGTCCCGGGATTATCGGACAAAATATCAGATGATGCACTACTTTTTAGCATGTAAATTTTTATACGTAGTATTAAAAAATCGGAGAATCGTCCTATTAATGCGCGGAACCCAGAATTACAAAAAAATTGTCTCAATTTTTTCCCAAATTTCCAGAATTCCCATTTTCTGCAAAAGTTCGGCGTATAAATGTTTTATTGGCATTCATGCGTAGAGTGATTTGTCGTCAAAATCAGCAATTTTTGCATTCCTTGCATAACATCTTCATTTGTTGTTTCTGATCCGCTACTCCGAGGCACAATGTGCTGACAAAAACAAGGTGTTACGTTGACGCATAGAAATGCGTAGTGAAGTTGCAGGGCGATAATCCCAATGACCAGCTTTCCATTGTCAACGTGTTTTCAAGGTGCTGTTTTTATGCCTAATGTTCAGTTCCAAATAGTTACAAGAGTAGAAATAGCAAAGAACGCCCTGGGATTAGGAGGTATCAGCTTTAAGAGAAAAATTGGTGGAGAATTATAGACTGCACCAAAAATTCCTGGATTTGCACTGCATTTGCATAATTCGGAAAAATCACCAAATTCCTACATTTTTGCAACTTAAGGTTTGAAAATCCAGACTTTTTATATCGATTATTCAAAAAAATATACATTTTCTGACTTCAGAATTTGAAAAATTAAATTAACATTACCTTGCGAAAATTTTTGTCATTCCACAATTTACCGAAAAAAATTTTAGAATTTCAAAAAATCTTAATTTAATTGTAGTTAATTTAAACCCGCCAGAATCTGTATTTTAATAAATTTTTACCGCTGGGATTCAGCCTTTGAACTTTACCAATGAAGCTGATAAATAAAAAAATTTTCCTCTTTTTTTTTCTGTAAAAATCCATGCCCAACTCGGCCCTGGATCACAGCATCCTCCCCCCTCCCTTCCGTATGCACAGCTGCTTTGTTTTTGGCGCGCCCTGGGTGCCCGTGGTGGTCGTATATTGAAGAAGAAAGGAAAATCGCAAAAATTCCACTCCTCCCCCTCCACCCATGGCCAATAATACAGCCGGCATTCTGGCAGTGGGGGTGAAAAATAAATAAAAAAAAACAAATAAAAAAACGGAACGAACGTCGTCAACGCAAAAGATACAAAATCTGAAACTTACCGTATGGCAAAAATTCTACAAATTTCAATGAGCAATTTTCAGATCGAAACGATGCCGTTGACACCAGTGGTGCTAGTTGATAAATGCACACTCCGGATACGCGGGTATTTCGACTTGGCGCAGGTACGGTAATCGGTACAGGTTGTAGGAGAGAGCGAGAGAGCAAGAGTGAGAGAGAAAGAGTGAGAGAGAGAATGCGCGAGAGACAGATAGATAGAGAGAGAGGCAGGGAACGTGAGAGCGACCCCTGGATCAAGATAACGACATATTTTTAGGCGATGGCTTGTTTCGTGCTCCCACTGATGCTCATCTGCTCCGTTTACACGGCCATTTTAAACAAGGTGAGAGCTTTCAAAGCTGCTTAACTTTTTTGGCACTCTGATTTGACAATTTTTTACGCCTTTTTGTACCTCTTTGAACCCGAAAATTCCGGATAATTTTTCCGAATCAGTTACGTGCCCATTTTTGCCTATTTCCAGGTGTGTGAGGCGCTATTTTCGATCGGTTCCCCCTCCTGAAGCGCCCACCCATTTTCCCATCACAAAGCTTAGTAGTCTGAGCTCAACCCGCCAATCTAGCAGCCGGGGGGCAGATCCCACGAATTTGTAGAATCTACGGGGCCCGGACGGGCCGACGTATGGTGCAAAAAATGGGTGTGGGGGAGTAGTGTGTGGTTTTTGAGGGTGATACGTGTGGAAGAATGGGATTGCGGGGGGCGTCTGGAATTTGCAACTTTTGGAAATTCGAGAACAATAAAAAAGTGGAAGTAGAAGGAAATCTAGTAATGAAAATTCTAATAATGAAATCACTGTTGGGATCTTTAAATTGGGGTTAACTAGCGGAGACCAGCTATGAACAGAACTCCTAATCGAAAATTGCTGCCACGATTCTTTTAAGACTTTGGACAGCTAGCGCAGATTTTTTAGGAATTGGCATCTCTCTGGTCCATTTGGTAGCAAAATCCTGGTCCATCGCTTTAAAATCTCGATGTGGCTAGCGAAGATCCTTTAGGAATCTATATCCTGCTTTTGAAGCCGTCTCACCATCCCTTTAAAATCCCGGGGAATCCAGCGGAGTCAGGCATGAATCCGAAAATTGGAGCCAGCTTAGGGACACTATGCCTTTAAGACTAGGGGTAGCCAGCGAAGATCATTTAGGAATTGAAACCCTGTTAGTGAAATTCTTGTCATCATCCCTTTAGAAGCTAGGAATAGCTAGCGAATAGCATTTAGGAATTCCTTGGTGGATCTTTGAAGCCCGGGCAACCAGCTGCGACCCTTAAGGATAACTCAAACTCGAAAGGCCTGGGGCAACCAGCCAGATTCCTTTAAAAAATTTGATGAATTCTTGTTGGAATTCTGTATATTTTTCCTCGCACTTTTCACACTACAAATCGACTAAATTATCCCACCTTGCACTCATCATTCATCTGGACGTAAAGGACGCATCCTTCATCCGAAGCCCCCATTTGTTTTTTTTTGCGTATTTCAGAGGATGGAATTGGGAGCGTTCCGTTGTTTGGCGCATTCATGTGCGCCTTTAGAAAAAAGATGTTGTTCTCCCGTGCCTCTACACTCAATTGGGGGCCCCCGAATTTTTGTTGTCTCGCGTACACACGCCTTTAAAAAAGGGTTGGGCACGTTCGCTCTCTCTCTCTCTCTCTCTCTCTCTCTCTCTCTCTCTCTCTCTCTCTCTCTCCTCTCTCTCCTTCCTCAAAAATTGAACAATCGCCCCCTCATGTCCAGCCAAACGCCCTGAATGGCTATAAATGGGGGGCGTTTACAGGATTGCAGCGGAAATTGGTTTATTTGTTGGGGTATTTGGGTGGTTTGGGTTTTGTGTGTGTCACACACAAGAAGAAACCTGAACAAAAAGCATGAGGTACAACGCTGAAAATACATGGAAAGTGGAGGAACGGAATAACAGGACCCGGAAATTGAAAAAACGGGATCAGGATTTTTAACGGGGTTAAGGGAGCTAGAAAGCCCGAGAGAGAAGCAGAAAATTCGAGCAAGCTTGGCTAGCTTACTAACTAGCTGTCACACTTCCTTTAAAAACCCTAACTTAACGTTTTATGCAAAAATAGAATTTTTAAAGGTATCCGAATGTTAAGACCACTTGATTATACCTTTAATTGTCATTTTTTAGCTGTACCGTCACACCAGAATCTCCTCGGTCGGCCGAAAGACCTCCATCTCGCTGTCAAGAGTCGTCAAATGTTCGGTGATGGTGGTCGCCTTCTACTTCATCTGCTGGACGCCTTACTTTACCATGCAGCTGCACCACTCGCTCGCTGGAGGTAGGAGCTTGAACGCCTTGTGTAGCTTATCTTATTTGCCATTTGAATGTGGAACGAAAAATTAGGGATTAATTTAAGTTAAGTTTTGAAGTAAAAACTGAGGCAATAGATTGTGTGGCTCCTTAAAAAACAGATCTGTTAGTAAAATCCGCGCTTTTCTCGCAACAAGAGTTCTTCCGATACTCTCCTTCTCTCTATCTCTCACTCTCGCTCCCCCCAATCTCTCTTAATCCCTCTCGCCATTTCATGCTCTCTCGCTCTCTGTCTCTCTCATTCCCTCTCAGTCTCTCTCTCACGCTCTCTCTCAGACCCCGACTTGAACTATTAAAATTAGGTTTTAGTGTAAGGGATCCGCTACGCAACGCTACTCCTAACATCCCCCTAAAATCGATTATTTTACATCTTGCGAAGGATAATTATTTGCTTCTTTTTTTCCTCCCATTTGCAACCCTCCTCGTCCTTATGCGCCTCTAAACAATAGCCCACCCATGCCTTGACGCCTAAATACTCACTTATTCATGAAATACCCCCAACCAATTGGTTATTTTTGCCGTTCCTCCACCTCCTTCCAGAAGATGATGGGCCCCTAAAAAAATTGGAAAAATTTTGTAAGATAATATTTTCAACACCTGGAAAAACCCTGAGGGATTTGGGTAAAATTCCTGGAAATTCCTTATTGTTTTTGTTATCAGGTATCGGCGCGTAATTTGTGCCACTTGATGGCGCAGGGAGAGGTACGGTGACCGTGTCCCTATCTTGCTTTCAGGGTTGTTAGGAAATTTCTGCGGATCTGAAAATACCTCAAATTTCCTGGGAAACAGTGCTAACTGGCCCGGAACGTCAACAAACTGACCTTCAAAATTTTAAAATGTTGGTGAGCCGGGTGTGGTAACAGTTCAGACTTGTTTTAACGGAATAGCTTAGCAAAATTACGTTAAATATACTGGAAAACGCGTTATTTTACTTTTGAGGCTTTTTCATGCATCCCGATTTTGCTACAGTAAGACGAAATCCTAAACGAAGCTCGAATACACTAGTACAATTTGCAATATTCTTGAATTCAGCTTCTTGATTTTGGCCCGACGGTTCCTTAAAATCAATCCCAGTCAATTCCGTTCTATTTCTACTTCAGGGGTCAAATTTCCGAACTTTACACCTTACAGGCGTTCCCGTGAGTACATGAACTGATCCTGCGGTAGAGCGAACGCCGGAGTACTCCTTACGTCTATCTACGCTTGCATACACATGCTAAATCTGTTTATTTTAAAACTCGGCAAGGTCCCAATTGCAAAACTGTTTTCTTGAAATCCGAGCCCCGGCTACGGAACCGGCCAGTGGACACAGGGGACACTTGGTCTAAATTTTAGATTCTTCGCTCTCTCTCTCTCTCTCTCTCTCTCTCTCTCTCGCTTTCTTCTCTCTCCCGTTCTCCCGCTCTCTATCCCTCACGAAGTGTCTAAAAAACGTCAGAATCCGAATCGTGTTTACGATTTGCCGGGGCCGGTGTCCTGGCCGGTGGGTAACGGGAAAACTGGCGCCTTCTGGAAGTAGCGAAGGGAGGAGGGAGGATTGGTTTTCAAGGGGCTAGGAACTTTTGGGTGCTGCCGAGGGGCAAGTGACGCGCAGTTCATTCGCTGGAGCTGTCAAAAACAACGCTAAAATCCACGGAACGGAAAAGTGACTCAGCGAAATGGAATTCGGATCAGCAGGGAAGTTGTCGCTTCATTAAAAAATGGAAAAGCTAGGTCTCGAGAGCTACATGACGTTCCAAAATACACCCAACAGCAAATCTGGATTTTTTAGAATTGGTCAATATCGCTTTGTTCGCTGTAAAATGAATTTATCGAAGGTTCCTAGACGCTTTTCGTAGTTGTCAAAAACTAGTAATGAACAAAGGTAGATTTTTACGCTTCCAATTCCCTTTAAAACCTTTCCTAGCATGGTTTGGTCGATTACGGTACTTTTCTGATATTGCGCCATCCATAGCGCAAATCGTTGGTTAGAAAAAGTCATATATCTCTCTCCTTCTTTCTCTTTTTTCTCTCTCTCTCTCCCTCTCTCTCTCTCCGATGACTCATTTCAACACTTCTCACTTTCAGCTCAGATTCCATAGCCGGGTCGAAATCCGGCCCACCCCCCTGGCAACTATAGAATTTCTATGGCTATCTAAGCCCCAAAATAGAGGCCCAAGGTCCCTAGATGATGACTTTAGAGAAGCAATGCACAAAAAGAGTGGCCCACCCCCAAATAGGGCCCCCTCTTTTTGGCCCATTTCCACAGGGCCAGCAGAGCGCTAGAAATGGAAATGTGATACCTCCACACACATGGCTTCTGTGGCCCCTTCTCAATATATTTTGGCCATCATCTGGCGGCGCCCACGTTTTGGTCTAGCTAGGACCAAGGAACAGGGAGATACCAGAAAAGACGCGCGTCCTATGTGTTTGTTTCAAGGATGTTGTGAGGAAATCGGTGGAACCACGAGGTGATCATGGAAGATTTCTGCGTCAATAGGAATATGGTGGAAAAGCCCGAAAAAAGGCTTTTCGAATTTGGGGACGGTTATTTTCAAGTCGTAATGGTTAAGATGGTAACCTGGACGACTACTCCAGTAATGATTTTGTATAACCATTAGGTATTGAGAAACTTTGGACCACGAAAGGCTAATCAGGCTAATCTAAGATTTCTGCAAGCAATTTTTCTCGGATCTTTGGAAGTGCCTGGAAGACATTAAATCTAGCTGGATGTTTAGGCTTTGGCAATACAACAATGTTTTAAAGCCCAATTTCCGACTTATGCGGATCCGGATCTTCAAGCCGTTCACCGGGCAACAGACTTTAGGGCTTTGAAATCTGCCTCGGTAACAGAATTTAAAGTTTTTTTGCCAAAAAAATTGCGTTTTTTTGCTCATTTTGCAGCTGGAAACCCTCAAGCCCATGCGGAATCGGTCTCATAATCTGCGGGAGACATGAACAAAAGTTGCTTACGTGTAGCTTGGGCGTTCCTAATCCAAAACAGGTCCCATTCCACCCAAATCTTTGCTCTCGGTCCGTTCCTTGTTTTCCAGATTTTTCCGGATCGGGAAGTCCTTGGTTGAAATGGAACCCTCAAAAAACTTTCTTTTGTTATATGACAGGATTAGATATGCGTATTCTAGCGTGTGGTCAGATAATCCGGTCGTTTTCAAAGGCTAATTATGCGAATTCCAGCAAAAAAACATGTTTCCGTTTTTTGGCCTATGGTCAACGAGAAGAGATTAGGAAGTTCTGTTTTTGGTTTTATGATTTTTGGGGGTTGGAAACGGAAAGGAAGTGACGTGGCTTACGTTTGGGCTTCAGCTTAGGTCTGGGCTTAGGCTTCGACTTAGGCTTGGGCTTAAGCTTGGGCTCAGGCTTAGGCTTAGGCTTAGGCTTAGGCTTAGGTTTAGGCTTCGGTAGTCTGTCACTATCATAAAGTTGTGGTGTATTTTCTCGTGCTCCAGGTATTCGGTATTTTTCAGAACCAAAAACACAACTTTTTCACTTCCTTGTTCAGCACCGGTTTCCAGTCCAGAACACACACAACTCGAGAAAAACTTGAAATTTCGAATTCTCAGCTGCAGTCGAACCGAGACTACCCCAACCACCAGGCTCCCGTGAATGGCCCTTATTAGTGGGAAAGTTGAGACCAGTAAAGTGGTTCCAGGGTTTTTAGTTCTTAGCATAACCACCTCCTCCCCTTCTCATTCTCCTCCTCTTTTTCCTCCTCGTCGTCCTCGGCTTCTGCTTCTACTGCTCCTCAGCCCACGTAATTCTCGGCAGGTAGCCCCCAGCCAGGCACAAGGACACATTAGAATATTCTAGAACCTCACAAGAGTGGGCCGTGCCGGGACCCTGGGTTACAGAAGCACACTGATTGGACGGGGGATTGGCGCAAAAATATTTGGGGTCTAGAGGCCCAAATGGGTTTTCTATGGCCAACTTGGGCCCTAAGAAGGGCCACATCGTAACCCGAGACAAGCGAGTAAATTGGGTTGTTATGGAAAAGATTTGGGACCTAGGGGGTTTGATTTTGAAAGGAGAGCGTGGGCGGATGGAGAGAAAGTGAGAGAGATAGCGAGAGAGATAGCGACAGCGAGAGAAATGGCGAGAGAGACAGCGATAGAACGAGAGAAAGTGGGAGAACCGAGAAAATGCGAGAGAAAAAAACAGAATTCAAGTGAGAGCGGGAGAGAGAGGTGCCAAAAAATGTAAATTTTGGATTTTTTATAAAAATAAACCTATGGGAAATAGCAGAAAAGCGGAAGAAAGGGAAAATCACTGGAAACCACAACAAACAATTATGCAGAAAAACGATTTTTCAGACCTAATGGACGACCACGAGACTGATGACAACTCAACGTCATCCTACAGCCCGCCCCAGAACCACACCCAAACGAATCGCATCGGCGACGATCCCCATCATACGGTAATGGATTTGCCAGGCTCTAAATTTTTGTTTTTAGAAATCCCCACTAAACATCAGTGCCGCAGTGACAACTTCGGCATTTGAACGTGAAGAAATGCCATCAGTACCGATCTTCCTTTTCTACATGCTGCACGCGCTACCGTACACCCAGAGCGCGTTCAATTGGCTGTTTTATGCGTTTTTGAACAGGTATGAATACAGATTCTAACACTGTTTGTCCCTCTCTCCCTCTCTATCGTTCTCGCTCTCTCCCTTACTCGCTCGTCATTTTCTGATCAATATCTATTCTTTAGGAACCTTCGGAATTCTGGCCGTACTGCCAATGGCGTCAGAAGTACAGCGAGCACATTAATAGCAGATGGTAACAGCAATGGCAGTGCGAATGGAGCGCCGCTATGGAAGAACATCCAACAGGTAGTGCCTAAAATTTGTTTATATTTCTGACTTAATAATCTGTATAATTTCAAACGTCTTTAGATGGGCAGCCACCTAAAAGCCGCAGGGCTTGACACTGGAAATTTGCTGCTGAAGAATTCGCCCTTCAGGACGAGGGTCAAGCGACCGTTTAGGTGAGTAGCTAACAAATTGATGGAAGGCCTAGAGGGTATCGTTGTTTACTTCATACAGTAAAAGTTTGTTACATTCCCTTTTTTCTGTAGCCCTCGGCAGATCGTCAGGTAACACAATTATCTCTTGATTTTATTGCCGCACCTCTACTTTTAATTTCTGTCATGTGGTTAATTACGGCGGCGGTTGCTTCTAAATTCCCAAAAATTGTCTTGCCCTTCGAAACTCCAGACCCAAAAATAAATAAACTTTTTTTCTGTTCGTCTTTCCGTCTGGCGCTTCCATTCTTTCAAAGCTTGCCATTCCAATATCTCCATAGCATTTAAACTCTTTTCCGCTATTCGTCTAGACGCTATTCGCAAACCAACGATTAACTTCATTACCACTTCTTGCTCCTGTCACGTTCCCTTTAAAACACACATCAGCTCGGCTAGCACGCTTTCCTCGCACCCGCCGTCACCAGGGTTCAATCCCACCGTTGTCCCGGTGTCCAAAATTGTTTTTTCCACCCCAGCCATTATCAACACCCCCTTTATTTGACCTCGTGGCTTTTTGCCCTCAGGAGAGCGTGGGTTCGAAATGAAGAAACTGAAACTTTGGGGGTCGCGAGAAAAGGCGAATCTGCCTTTCCCCCTCGCTCTCGCTCTTTCTTTATCTCTCCGTCTCTCTCTCTCTCTCTCCTCTCTCTCTCTCTCTCTCCTCTCTCTCTCTCTCCCTCCCTCTCTTTATTTGCGTCCGTAACCGATGAGACCGGTCTGTGCCATTCATTATGGCAGGAAACTTGGCCTGGCTGGCTTTTCTGACACTAGAAATCAATTTAAGTGAAGACGTCTAAGAACTTTTTCCACTAGGGACCAGCAAAAAATGAAGCATAGATTTGTAAAAATCGCATAGAAATTCTATAAGCTTTTTCAGGAGCGCCACCTACCTCGAGAAGCCGACCACTCTACTCGTTGGGGCCAACGGTCATGAGAGAGCTTCAATGCTGGATCTCCCCGTGGATCGCGATGCGATGAGCATGGATTCACCACCCAGGAGCATTTCTGCAGCTGCATCTGTGCCACCAGCAAATACCCATAATGATGCGTCGGCCACGTCCTCGATTGAATGGTTGTAAAAGACCTCATCAGTTTCAGAACTTTCATTTTTCAGCCCGACGTTTATTTCAACGTTGACGTTGACGGTTATTGCAATTTTTTCGAAGCAGTTCAATCACTTTTTAAAAGGACTCGGAAGCGAAAATCAGCAGGCAATAGTAGTGGAAAAAATTTGTTTCTCTCCTTCGAGTCCCTTATTCCTGCACACATATCCCATTTTTGGGTATTTCCAAGTTTTCAATCCCTTCCTTTTCCATCTTTTTTCGTCGTTGCGAACTTGTATCCCCTACGTACCGTATCCTTGATAAGGAGTATTGGAACCAAAAAAGAGAGATGTGCTCGCCCCGTTTGTGATCGTTTGACCATGTCAGCCGCCAGAATTTTGTAAGTCCCCCGGTGTCCCTATTGCCCCCAGCTGTGTATTTTCTGAATCGGGTACTTTTCAAAAATTTTGCTTTAAGCTATCCAAAAGACCTTGTTCTTGTTCTTAAAACCCTTATTAAATGTCGTAATGTTTCGTTATCTTATTTTTACACCTTCCAAATTGGATTCTCTTACATGTTGCCCGTCACTTTTTTGCGTTTTCAATCCCTCCCAACGGTGTCAAATCCATAGCCCAATTGCCAAATGTGTTGATCTCATTTTCGAGCTCGTTTGGATTGTATTTGGATTCTTTTTTGAGGATAAATGATTTACATATCTCCTTGCAAAGACATGGAAATTAAAATAAACTACAAAAATACAAATCAGAAAGCCAACAATAAAAATCATTACAAAATATGCGCAATTTTTGTCGGGATTTTGAAAATTCAAGAAAATGACATTTCTCTCAATTCTTAAATGTGCAAACTAGGTAAAAACCACAAAAATTAATCAGGCGGCTTTCAAATCTCGAAAAAATCATTTTCTTCGCGTCGTCCTTTCGCAAAACTGCAGCACATAATTTTTCAATCGCTTCAAAACCATTGACGTATGCCGTCTAGCCCCCAACCTGCGCCCGTAATATTAAAAAATTGTATAAAATCAAAAAACCTATTTTTTGCTTGGCATAAATATTCATGTGATGGTCATATTAAAGACGCCCGCCCAGGGATCCCACATTTTAACGGCGATGAAACATCGTCTGATCCTCGGCCTGCTATTTGGGCTACTGTCGTCGGCCGGCGCGTTGTCAGGTTTGGAATTTTTGTGTCTTTTCGTAATATTCAATTTTTATGATGTTTTTAGTAAGAACCGAACTTATTAAAGTTTTTTAATTTTTAGTAGCTTTTAGTAATCAAAGATTACAAAAAATTATAAAAATTATATTTTTATTGTAGAAGAGGTTAGCTTCAATAAAAAAAAATGCGTTTTCCTTAGTGCTAAAAATGCCTAAAACTTAACGACTTGAAAAATCAGCGGCTTTGTAAACCTATCTAAACAAAATCGTTAAATTTTTCAAACTTAAAAGGTTTCCAATGCCTTCCAGGCGGCGGCTCCCACGACCCAGATGTCCCCCGACTCAAGGCAAGCCTGAAAGCCAAGATCGAAAAAGCGCTCCAGAGAGCCGCTCACCACCTCGATCAGGCCGTCGACGAGGTCGAGACCCCGATCGATGCCTCCCTCCTCGAGTCCGAGACCCTCCGCCTCGTCAAGGATTTTGAGAACGAGGTCGACAAGTTCAGCGACTCGGACTCGGAGGAGCAAGAGCATCCGGAACCCCGACGAAAGCTGAAGACTGATGAGACCGATGCGCTGACGGAAGTGCCGTTTGTGATCCAACCAACTGACGCGGACCCGGTTTTGAATGATGAGAGTCCATTGGTGACCCCAACGGTTGAATATGAGGAGAAGAGGTTCGACATGGATTTGACAAGAAAGCCCAAGGTCCCGGTAAGAAAAGAAAATGATTCGCGTACAGGGCGTGTTATCTCTGGATACTCTTTAGTTGTGTAAGTTTTCAGATTGTCGTGGACGAGGCGGCGACTAAGGTTCCAGAGGTTGCACCTTCAGCAGTACCTACAACAGTTGTAGGTGCACCGGATTGATTTACATTAAAATAACAGTTGACAAGCGGAGGAGCAGCAAGTGTAGCTGGCATTGAAACTACTGTCCAAGAAGTTGAATCATCAGCAGCACCTGCAGTTGTAGGGTACTTTTTACCTTTGGTACTCAGGTATCAGGTGACGAAGGAAAACATCGCCACTGCAGCTCCATCAAGTGCAGCACCCGCTGTCGTGGTAATTTCGCGCGAATCTACCTTATTAACATTCCAGGTAACAAAGGAAGACATCCAAACTGTCGCTTCAACAGTAGTTGCACAAGAAATTCGATCATCAGCACCCCCTGTAGTAGCGGTATACTCATACTCATTTACGTAGGACTCCGACATCCCAGGTAACGACGGGCGACGGCGTAACCATACCACCATCATCAGCCGCACCCGAGGCCACTCGGACGTACCCCGTGATTTCGACTGGGCAGCCACTGCCCGATACCAGATCCCCGACAGTAGGACCGTCATCAGCTGCTCCCGAGACCACCCGAACGTATCCTGTGATTTGGACTGGGGTGCCCCGACCTGATACCCGGCCCCCAGGGGTAGCATCAACAGCAGATACATCCGAGACAACACGGACATATCCCGTGATTTGGACTGGGGTGCCCCGACCGGATACTCGGCCCCCTATGTTAGAATCATCATCAGCTGCACCCGAGACTACGCGGACATATCCCGTCATTTGGACCGGGGAGCCCTTGCCTGATACGAGGCCCCCGGAGGTAGCATCCTCATCAGCTGCGCCCGAGACTACCCGAACATATCCTGTAATCTGGACCGGGCTGCCACTTCCTGATACCAGACCCCCGATACGACCATCCATAGATACGACCGATGGAGGCAATCAGTCTTCGTCGGCACCTACAGTGGTGGCACGCCATTTTTTGATTTGGTTAACCTATTCGCATCCTAGGCAACAAGTGGTGGCATCTCAACAGCAGTACCGACCGTTGCGGAAGTGGTTTCATCACCCGCACCTGCATTTGAGGTAAGCTAGCCTAAGGTATCGATGTAAGGTTCCAGGTGACGAAGGGTGATGTTCCGACGGTAGCACCAAGAGTAATGGCTGTAGACACCACTGCGCAAGAAGTTCAGCCAACTGCAGTGCCAAAACTAGTGGTAACTGAGCTTCAAAGGTTCCACGTTGAGTTCTAGGTAACCCAAGGAGAGGCCTCCACAGCTATGCCGACAGTTCCACTAACAGCGGCCCCTACAATCGCTACAACAGCAGCGCCAATAGTGTTTGAGGTAGGTTCCGCAGGATTTGGGGCACTGGGCCTGGATTTTTTTTGTTATTTGGGAATTTGACTTCTTTGTTTTTGGAATAATTTTTTCTTGGATTTTTTTTGTGTGTATTTTGTTGCTGATCTCCTTTTTAGAACATAGCCAGCGGGGTCGTCGTCACCTACGTCCCAACTGCCGTGCCAGCCCAGTTGAGCCGTCTTGGACCGGTCGGATTCGTGGGCGACTTCGGAGGTGGCAAATCTGGTGATGAGGTCGTCCAACTAAGGACCGTCCCACCTCTAGGGAGCAGTGGACCTGTTGGAGGGGCACGTCGGCTTGCCGATGGTGAAGGATCTGAAAAAGGAGCTGGAGCGCCGATCGAGCGTCACCAGAAAAATTTGCAGCCGGACGTTGCTGCCGTAAAGGCCGAGGTGGAACCAACAGGATTTTTGCCAGTTGCCATGACGCAGGGACCTTACGTAGGTACGCGAGGCTTGAAAGAAGCTGGCGTGGACGTTGGAGGAGAGCTTGTGTTCAAGGCCAAGGCGGAACCTACAGGATTTTTGCCAGTTGCCATCACGCAAGGGCCGTATGAGGGTACGCGAGGCTTGAAAGAGGCAAGAGGTGAGTAGGAGGGGGGGGGGGGAAACCAGACAAGAATGTGGATGCGGAACCCACCGGATTTTTGCCAGTTGCCATCACGCAAGGAGCGTACGTAGGTACGCGCGGCTTGAAAGAGGCAAAACCTGACGAGGAGGTAGAACCTACAGGATTCTTGCTAGTCGACATCACACAGGGACCGTACGCAGGGACACGCGGCTTGAAAGAAGCAAGACCTGACGAGGACGTGGAAGAAGACTTGGAACCTACACAAGATGAAGAAACCCAAGACTTCAAGTTCCGAAACGACATTTTTGATGACATGGACGGCGTAGAGGATGGACAAGAAGAACATGATCAAAAAGAAAGGCTGGACCCACACCCGGCACGGCTTGCTCCAAGAGATCAATGGCTGGTTGACGAATTATTTGATGGCAAGACACCTAAACCCCCCACGCTCGACCACATGTGGAGGCCGACTGAGTCCACGGACGTTTCCATTGATCCTAAACCTTTCCAACAAATTTGTGGGCCAAAAAGCGAACCACGGGCGCTTCAACGGCCCCCGATCCTTCGACAACATCCACTGGCGCCACCCAGTACCCACGAAGTTCCCTCAGCCCATCATCGGCCCTGGCGCTTGCAACTACATCCATTGCCCAAAAGTAGAGCCGACCGAAGATTGGGTCGACGAAAAGTTGCGTAAGAATATCCCAGACAATGAAAACGTTGACGTTGGAATCAACCCTCTACCTGACCGTCATCCAAAGGGCGGAAATGCGCATGGCATTGAGGGGATGCTTGAGAGTCTTGAAGCGAAGGAAAGGTCGGGATTGTTTTTTGACCCTATGCCGTCGTTTATACTTTCTCTAGAAACTTTCAGTCTTTAATTATGTCTCTAAAATTGAGACTATAAGCTTGTAGTCGTCTGTAGGCCATAAACTAGATTTTGTTAGCATGTTTCTCGCCTCTCCGTAGGAGTACTTCCGGAGCTTTTTGTTAGTAGACCTTTACTAACCTACGCGCTACGCTTCTTCCCATACCTCTAAAAGGAGGCGACTTTCCTTTCTTGACTATAATTTGATGCCCTCCTTTAGAGCAGAGAAGCTTAGCCACAAGGACAACGACGAGCGTGACGGTTTTTGGATGTGGGTGCAAGGCGGAACTCTCAAGAACAAAAACCATGGTATGCTTTTCCATCTCGGAAGCGGCTAGAGCAACACTGGATGATAACCAGAGCACGTACAGGACACAACGACCACGTCAAGACATCTGGAGATCACTTCCGCATGAAGCTGCTTGACATCAGCGCCGAGATGTAAATAATTTGTTTTTATCGCGTGATTTCTTGGTATTTTTAAGTGAATCTGGGTTAACTTTAGTTTTATAACTTCTAGTTTTTTCTCTAAATTACGAGATCATAGCTCGATTTTCAGAAACACATCCGGAGAAGAAAAACCGAAGCTCGACATACTTGCCAAGCTTTTGGACGAAATCAGCGCAGAGCAATAATTTATGACTTTATGAATCAATTTTTTGTTGTTTGAATATATTGAAATTTAAATAGAAATACACCACAGTGTCGTTTTTCCGTTGTCAAGTGCAGAAAAATTTAGAAAGTACAATTTCTCAAAAAAAAAATCATTTATTCGCACGACCCATCATCATTATGCAGAGGATATGTCGATGGGGAAAGAGAAAATAAGACATCAGCATTTTTTGAAACATTACCAAATTTGAAAGGAATTTCTTCTTTTTTTAATACCGGGCAAAATCGACCAGTTTTGGGGGTTCTTCGAGGGTTCAGAGTCAATTTTGGGGAATTAAATTTACACAGAGAATCACAATCTAAAGGCGACGGGGCAGATCGATTTCATAATTTTTGAAACGAAATGTTTAGAATACAAAAAGAGCAATTTGTATGAGAAGATTGGATCCACTTTGAAGCTTGTTAAGTACCAGCTAGACGACAAAAATTGAATAAAAATTGTAGGGCACTGTGAAGAAATAACCAAAAAATTCAGAAGATTAAAATAGCGTGGAATGGCTGCTGGACAGGAAATTTTGAACAATTTTCTGGATTTTGGAGTCAGGCTAATTAGCATAAGCCCGAAAAATGCAGAAAATGGAGCCAAATTTGGTCGCTGGCGGGAGGAAAATCGGAATAAGCTATCAAATCGTTATTGAATTTTTAGCCCATTTTCGTAATTATATAAGTCAAAAACTACAGTAGAGACAAATAAACTTACAAGATGAATTTTCTGTTCAAATTTTAATCTGTTTCGGATTTCCGCGGGAAAAACGTGGATATCGATCGATTAAGGCGATTCCGCGCATTAATGATAGCCGTAACATATTTTCCCTCTTTTATTGATAAAAAATATTAGGTATATTTGAGTTAATTATTCAAATTTGAAACTTCTTAGAAAACCTTTGCCAGCTTGCCTAACTTGACCACTAAAGAAAAATATGGGCTTTTCTCCATTTTCCCCCAACTAACGCCCAAATGGCGGGAATGATAAAGTCACAATCCTTAATTAAAGCAATAGAAACTTAAGAAAGAATATTCAATAAAGATTACGAATCTAATTATTGCTGGAAGTGGTGCGACACCGACGCGGATCAGGGCGATCGGGCGACAGGAAAGACGGTTCTTCTTGGATCGGGTTGAGTGCCCTATCGTCGTCGTAGCCGACGATGAACACCTTCTTCGCCCCGGAGACTTTCCGCTGCGTTTCTGAAAAGAATTTTATCGTAACTTTTGTTCTTTAAAAATTATAATTGAAAGCCGGGACCATACGCCAGTGAACAAAGCTCGGCTTTAGGGGGATTTGGGGTAAGTCTTCTATGCAAATAAAGTCAAGATTCTCGACTTTTTTGTGACAATTAGTGCCTTATCTTATTGGAACTGATCGAATACGCATTGATTCATAAAATTCATAAAATGGCTATTGCGGCATGCTAATTCCAAAAATTTTGGC